CGATGTCGAGCCCCTTCCATACGTCCTCTACAACCTTGGCCCACTCCGTGGGATGCCTACCCCTCTTTTTGTTTGCCCACTCCGCCTCCCATACAATCCTCGGCAACCTCTCCTCTCCCATCCCGCACATGCGATACTGCCAGGTCAGCTTCCTCGCGTCTCTTCCCGACCGTAGGGATTGGATCCCCAATTCTGCCCTGACGGCTGCATTACTTGTGCGCTTGGATCATCCTAGGATGATTTTCGCTGCTTTCATCTGCGCCGCCTCGAGTTCTTTCACTACCTTCTTATTTCCTTCCCATACTTCTCCGTCGTACTCTAGCGGCGGTACGAATACGCTCTTCAAAAGCTTCAATTTGATGCATGCATCGAGGTGCCGGTTTGCGAGTATTGGGTGCAGCTTCCCTGCTCGTGCTTTGCCCTTTTCCGCTACCTTGGACATTTGTGCATTCCACGAGCAATCTTTTGCGATCTCTACTCCGAGGTATGTGTACTGGTCCACTACTGCAATCTCCTCGATCCCCCACTTCCATCTATGTTCTACTGGTTCCTCCTTGTCCTCGTTGCATACCATGGGAGGAGGAGGAAGAGGAGTAAAACACCACAGACGCCCCCCCCCTCCTCAAACATGGAAAACGATGCCCCGTACTAGGAACCTGCCCACGCTGCACCGATGCTGCCCCGGTACTTTCGACCCGCGCGTCTGGGGCTTCTTCCTCCTACTAGCAAGTCTCAAGACGAATAGCCACGTGTCGTCATCTCAACCGTTAGATGTATGAACAATGCATGGAAGGTCTCCAAACCTCGAGTAGAAACACGAGATCCACTCTTTCTTCGAAAAACGCACTTCAAGACCACCCCGCATCGCATACTGCAGGCGCACACAGCTGGCCAGCACTATTACGGTGGAACATAGTAAAGACCAAATTGGAATATTGTGTAACTTCGTCAATACGGAGTCCCCTATCACAAAATATACTGCAGCGAAAATTGACGACAAAGCACAGAGCTCTCTTTCTAAAAAAATTAAAAACAAAATTTACCATGTCTTCAAGTAATATTACGAAATTAGTGTGTAATCGTACCCGGCGAAGTTCCAAAAATATTGAAGCGCGGTGTTCCAACGATGCGGCCTCAGGGCTTGCACAAGTGATCCATATATTGATTGAACAGGATGATACAGCCATCTCAATTGCGAAATACCAAACAATATATCAGCTTGCACTCAGAATGGCGCCTTCTGTGCAGGCCCTTCGTGTCGCTGTTCGGGAATCAAAGTCGAAAAATATTGGCCCAAAAAAGGGCATTTGTTTTCGGCATTTGTTTTTGTGGCATATTTTTTCAGCCCTCAATGACATCTTCCGCGTCCTCACCCAGCCACTCATCCGTCTGCTCCTCCACCCCATCCTCTATCTCATCCTCGGCCGTAGCCTCTTGGTACTCTGCCACTGGATACTCAAGGCTACCGATCGTACCGCTCAGGTTTCCACCATACAGGCCGATCCACTCGTCCATCTTGCCAATGGCATGCTGCACCAACTTTCCACAGTTGGCTGCCTTCCATCCCCCCTCCTGAGTCAGTGACTGTCCCATTCCGGGTCTCCATACCAACCGCGACGGATTTTCTTCCAGACATCCAACATGTTCCGCCCCTTCTCAAAATGAATGCTCACGTGATGCTTGCCGTGCTACCAGAACAGCTCGATCGGCTGGAAAGTCGGCATGTACGGCGGTGTCCAAATTAACCCCCACCCCTTCTCCCTCATGTACGTCGCAGCCTTTTCCTCGAGCTTCTGTGGAAAATTCTTTTTGAAGTACGTCCGAGTGACGGAGGCTATCTCTTCTTTGCTGACGCCGTTCTTGCGGTTCGCATTGGGTAGCGACCCCTGCGCCGGGACCTCAAAGTTGTACTCAGCAGCCTTACCCTCCGACTCACGCGTCACCTTGAACGACGTGCAACCGTACTTGCGCAAGAGTTCGACGTTGTATTTTCTCACTGTTGGTTTCGGGCACCTTAACCCCCTCGTCAAAGCAGTAGTGGTATGAGGCGTTATCGAGAACGAGAAACATCTTATTGTTCTTGAACTGCGCATCGAAGGCCGGGTTAAGTCGGTGCTTCAACCACTGCATGAACATCCCATCCGTCATGGCGTTATGATAATCTCCGGTTGCCAACTTGGCCTGCCACAGAAATTCTGCTGTCTGCTCATCTGACATTTCGAAATCCGCCTCCCCAGGCTTAATCTTCTTCGCACGATTTTCCTTAGCCTTGAACCAACCCTCACGGATAGGAAATCCCTCCTGTAGCTCGGCCAAGGGCCCGTGCTTCGTGATCGCATGCACCATCATCATACGCAAACCTTTCCCCGTTGTACGGCCTATCCCATCCTGCACAACCCCCTTATCGTCAGAAGGAAAGTACGAGTACGCGGAACCATGCGCCTGGTGAACAAAGCTCTCATCCATGTACACAATGACTGCGACCCCAGCGTCCTCGGCCCTCTTCGCGAGGTCCATCTTAACAAGGAAGAGGCGGGTGCGGTTTTTCCTCTCCTCGTTCAACGGGGGTATTTCGATCCTACCCCTCCGGCGCTTGAAGCCAAGGCGCTGCAGCAACCCTCCCACGGCACGATTCGNCGGTAGCTCGGCCAAGGGTCCGTGCTTCGTGATCGCATGCACCATGATCATACGCAAACCTTTCCCCGTTGTACGGCCTATCCCATCCTGCACAACCCCCTTATCGTCAGAAGGAAAGTACGAGTACGCGGAACCATGCGCCTGGTGAACAAAGCTCTCATCCATGTACACAATGACTGCGACCCCAGCGTCCTCGGCCCTCTTCGCGAGGTCCATCTTAACAAGGAAGAGGCGGATGCGGTTTTTCCTCTCCTCGTTCAACGGGGGTATTTTGATCCTACCCCTACGGCGCTTGAAGCCAAGGCGCTGCAGCAACCCTCCCACGGCACGATTCGACATCTCTAATCCGAACGAACACTCCAAGTAATCCTTGACGGTACGGCGGAAGACCTGACGTCCCGCCTCGTGCTCGCCCTTGATGAACTCGCGCAGTCCATCCTCTTGCTCCTTGGTGATGACACGTCGCCCGTCGTCGAAGCTGGTGGCCTTGCCTCGCCCCTTCCCGTTGGTCTCGTACAACTCCTGCTTGTAATACCAGAGTATGCGAACCGCCAGGACCTTGTCCGTACCGATCCTCAAGGTCTTCGCGACCTGATAAAGATGGGTCATCCACACAGAGGGAGGGTGGGAAAAAGTTTGTAAGAATACAGCAGTGTATTGCGTTGCAGTGTATTGCGTTGGTGTACGAAAGCCGGTGTTAAAGGGACGGCGGAGTGTAGACAACGTACAGCGCACGCGAGGAGAATGGTGGTGCCATGCACATACATTCCTTTACTTTCAGCGGTACAACGCGCTGCTGTAACTGCTGTACTGATACACTGCTGGCAGCATACCGTTATACATACCACTCAAGTATTGTACAGCAGTAATGAGCATCAGTACAGCAGTGCAAGCAATGCGACGATACGGGCCGGAAGCGGTACTGGCATGATGTCAAGCACTGCTGTGGTTGCTTGTACAAAAATCTTGGGTGGGATGTATGTATATGCATATTGACTATACATTTGTACCAAAAAAGTACATGGCACGGTACTACTGATCGATAATTCGGTGGCTCAGTTCTTTGTGTTGGGAGTGTAGAG